CTCTCTTCGCAGTCTCTCGCCGATTCTCGCTGCAACCTTCATGCCACCTCGCGGTCGTCCCACCCTCGTCGTTCTCTCCCTTGTCACTTCCTCCTCTGTCGCGTCGTTCTCTTCTAAAGAAAGAAAGAAAACAGACAACCCAAGGGAGGGATGGGAGGACGGCACGCCGCCACCACGTTCTCTTCTGCCTCGTCCTGCGCTGTGAGAGAGAGTTCTTTTGTTTAAATTCTTTTCTTCGTGCAAGCTCGATGATTGATTTACCCGGCGTTGCTCGGCTAACCTTCGGTGGCACACACATTCGAGAAGCAAATTTTTTGATGGCGGAGGACCAGCCGCGGGCCGGCGCGCATGCGTACCTGTGGGAGGACGCCGCGGGCGCCAGCCTCGCCCACGCCGCCTCCGCGTCACCCGCCAGCAGCGCACCCACGCCGGCCACAGCGGGCTGCTCGCCTTGCAGCTCCTCGCACGCCTCTTGGATGGGCAGCCAGGGGATGGGCAGCCAGGGCATGGGCAGCCAGGGCAGCGCGTCGGCGGGGTCGTACGGCCCGCGTGCGCCGGCGGCGTACCCGCTCTCGTACGCCTCCGCCGACCTGCCCGCCGTCGGAGACGGAGGCAGCGGCAGGCTCAATGCTCGGCGGTGGCCGGTAGAGAGCCCGCGGCCGGCGGCTTGCGGCGGCGCGCCGCCGCTCGGCGCGTACTCGATGGGGCAGGTGCAGGAGCTGCTGGCGGAGCAGCAGTCCAAGAACATCGAGCTCATCGCGCAGGCGCCCACGCGGCCGCCCCTCTCCAATCACGAACACACGCACAGACGGGCGCCGGCGCCGGTCGAGAGAGAAGTACGCACCGCTCTCTCGCCGCTCGCGGCCGCATGCCCACGCGTCCGCTGCCCGCCCCGTTCCCTTCGCACCCCCACATCCCCGCGCGGGACGCCCTCCCGCCTCCCCGCCCCACCACACCACACCACAACAAAGACACACGCCGGCACACAAGCCGTGCCCCGGGGGCCAGCGTCTGTGCCTCCCGGTGGGCTCAGAAACCCCCATTGGAATTCCCACCTGGG